TAATGGCACAAATCAAGTTACAGAGGGAAGGTAGTTCTTACAATATAAGCCTATTTTTTGTTTATTTGTTTGTTTTCCCCCCAATTATGGGATGGAGATAATAAAGTTATTTTGAGGATTAGAAATAATTTATGCAAAGTGCATTACACTGTGCCTGGCATATTGGAGGCACAAAATTAATAAATAAAGCTATTTTGAAATTAGGTGCTAGGCAAATGTATTTTTCTGTGTCCTAATTACTTAAATTATTTAAATTCATATTTTTTACGTTGATTTTATCCAATCATTCATATACATCTTATTTTATGAAATTAATTGTAATTTATCAATGTCATTTATTAAAACATCTCATTAGATCTTCACTGTATCTCTCCCTTCATTCTACTTACCCATCTTCCAATCTCTGCTCCCCTCTCCCTCCCATCCCTATCAATAATTGTTTTTATCTATATGTAACCTTTCCTTAGCTTTTTGCAAAGCTAATCAGTCATGCAAGAGTGTTCTGCCTTGTTAAAACATGTTACTGCACACTTTATATTGACTGCTGTGCTTAGAAACACGTTTGCTGTTGTTTGCGGCAACGTGTTAATTGCCGTACACACAATGTCTATTTATTTCACATACATACTTTTATAATCAGTTACAAATCTTCCTCCTCTCTCAACCTCTTCTACTAACACCAGGATACTTTATACTTTTCTTCTCAAATCAGCACAGTTTTTTGAAGTGACATTGTCCCATAGTAAATGTATATAGTTTTCTCTCTATAAGAGAGATTGAAAAAACCTGGTGCTTAAATGTTGGGCTGCCAGCTGAAAGATCTCCAGTTTGTACCCCTAGAGAAAGATGAACAATCTCTTCCTATTGAGATTTACAGCCTCAAAAAACTGGGACTAGCTCAGAAAGTTTTAAATAACTTGACTTTTGTTTTATTTTTTAAAATTTTTTTAGGGAGGTTTCACACAAATGGAATCTTAAACAGATTGGAGAACACCTTCTACTGAAAGCGTAAGTGTCAAAAGTGGTGATTTAATTGGTAAGGCCTACTAATTTTTATACTATTAGAGCTTAAAAAGGAATATTATTAAATGTAAACAGTAAATTAGAGCAATAAAATATTTATGAGAACAGAACATCAAAAGAGAAAGTAACAAAGTTTATGAAGATACATTATTATTGTTAGGAGCCATGTACATTTTATTGTATAACATTATGAGCAACAGCAGATTGAAACCTTATTGTATCCAGTGCCGTCCTCATGATCTCTGCCATGTTCAAGCTTCTTTTTGCAGGAAAATATATTATCTTTAGAAGAAGTCTTACTAATTTGAAAGGGTGAAACTACAGCCTAATATTCCCTCTTACGCACAAAGGTCCTCAATTTATTTAGTCTGAATTATCACAACGTTTATTTTTTGTATATTATTAATCAGTGCCAACTTATTTGTATGACAGTGAGCAAACCCAAAACCTTAGTAGCTTTAAAATATAGTTTTAAAGGCATATAGTTGATTTTGCAACAATGACCATTTTTTGTAGATTAGAAATTTTACTCTTCACTTTTTAATTTTTTTTGAAGATTATGAATTGGAAAACCCCCAGCTTGCTGGCTCCCTCTGTGGGACATTCCAGCACATTATTACTTAGTGATGTTCCATTCACCTTGAAAAGCACTACTTGCCAGGACCTGGCCCATATGGGTTAGGTAAGTCCCACCTTGTTATTATTTGAAATAACTATATTTTGCAGGCTTGCAAAGTTGTGTGCCTAACACTGGTGGTAGGAAACAACTTTGCAATGCTGTACAATATTGTTTTTTAATAATAAAAGGGACTTTACTCACACAGAAGGCTGGCTTCATACTGCTTGTCGCTTATAAAAAATGACAAGTTATGGAATGAATTCCTTATCCTGAATTTTTATTACAGTCATAGAATGCATTAGTTTTATACAGATAAATGTCTAAAAGTTATTGTAAAAGAGCCTACATTTTCCTGGTTTACAATATCTGGGTGTGGTTTTTTTCCCCCCCAGGCTGCTCCTGTATTATTAATTCTTTCCTGTGTAATAAATAGTTAAGCCCTGCATCATCTTGTTACAGAGCTCTGAAGTTAATATCTTTAGGCTACAAATATATAGTAGAAAAATCTTAAAGTAGATTTTTAGCTTGAATATAAATTTTATTAATAAAATATATAATAAAAAGAAGTCAGTTAAATAATTTTGTTTCTGTATACTGATAAGTGTGCTTTTATTTCTACAGCTTAACTTATGTGGTGGCAATGCCATTCTATTCAGCAAGCCTAATCGAAACAGTACAGGTAAACTATTTTCTTTTTGTCAATTTTCAGTTAAAAATAAACATTTTTAATATTTCATATATTATGTGTATATGATTGCATAATGAAAATGTAATACTTTAAAAAATTATTTCACAGATACCATATGTCAAAGGGTATATACTAATCACATTACTGATGTGTATACTTACATGAAAACTTATTCTACTTTTAATTCTCAGTATTCATTCCATATTCTTCATCTGAGTATCTCAGCTCCCACCGCTAGCTTCTGACTTGCTCTAAATACAATGATTCTTTCATTATCTCCAACTTTTAAAAGCCTGTATGGAACAACTCTAAGGGGAGGATTTATCATAAGGTGATCAATTACTAATTCCTTGAGTTTAAAACATGATGAATCTAAACAATGAACAGGTAATCTGTATGTGTAGTTCCCCTTTAGCATTCTTCTTAAATATTCTTTTTAAGCAGTTGATACTTTATTTATATAGTAAATACTACATAGCTAAAGCAATATCCAAACTGAATCCACTGTAATCAAGTTGGTTCTGACTCATAGGGAACTTATAGGACAGAGTAGAACTGCTGCTATTCTTAAGGCTGTAAATATTTACAGAAGTAGACTGCCACCTGTTTGAATCAAATGGGAAGTTCAAACCACTGACTCTTCAGTTTGTAGCTGAACGCTTAACCACTACACAGCTAGTTGTTGTTAGGTGCCATCAAGTACGACGCATAGCAATCTTATGAACAACAGTCCTGAACTTTTCCTATTCTGTGCCATCCTCACAATCTCGGACACATTTGAGCCCATTGCTGCAGTCATTGTGTAGTCATCTCATTGAGGGTCTTCCTCTCTTTTCTGACCCTCCACCTTTTCAAGCAAGATGTCTGTCTCTAGGGAGTAGCATCTCCTAGTAATATGTTCAAAGTATGACAGACAAAGCTTCACCATCTTTGCCTCCAAGGACTATTCTTACTGTACTTTACCCAAGATATAGCTGTTTGTTGTTTTGCCAGTCCATGGGACTTTTCAGTACTCTTTTCCAGCACCACAACTCAAGACACCGTTGTTGTTGTTTTTGTTTACTGTAGAGTTGGCACTGACTCATAACTAACTCTCCAACAGGTTTTCAGAGGTAGTTAATCACATGGAAGGAGACTGTCCATTCTTCTGGCAAGACACCATTGAAACACTTAAATATATATTGGTTTACTTTATCTGACCACATGATGGCGCTTGAAGTACATAGAATTAAATAAATGTCATGCTCTTTCTAATTTTATACTGCAGGTGTCACCTGCAGTATTTATACAGTTTATACCTCCTAAATGGAAAGTAGTTTTAATATAAGCTTTGTATAACCCAAAGAAAACCTACCATTGGATTTCTGAAACTCTCAGTATTTCCTATGGGCTCTACATCTGTCTGTATTTTACCTATTGAGCAACTTAGGGGTTTGAACCATTAACGTATCTTTTCGGAACCCAGCTTCTAATGCACTATGCTATGTTTCTTCACCTGTAGATAAAATTCAGTTAATTGTACATCTGTAGTTTGTGTATAACATCAGATTCCCTCATACTTTAGTTTTCTTCACTATCTATGAATACTCTTTCCTGATGAAAACTCCCTGAAATGATCTTTGGTCTTACTTTTTTTTCCCATTAGTATCTTTCCTGGCCCCATTATTGATTTTTAATTTAATTATATTTTAATGTATTAATTTAATTTTTGTTACCCAGGTATACTAACAGTGTATTTTTTTCCTCTTGCATTTGGCATGATTCTAAAAATGGTTTCTAACCCTTATGTGCTGTGGAGCTCTAATGGTGTAGTCCACAGGGAGTTGGCCTGATAACCCAAAGGCACACCTCTCTGGCAGTTTGAGTCCACCAGCGTCTTTAAGGGGGAAAAAAGATGGGTAGTGTTCCCCTTAGCAACTAAGAGTCTTAGAATCCTAACAGAGCTATATCCAAATAGAGTCAAGAATCTGTTCCAACTCAGTAGCAATGAGTTGAATATAGAATTTACACAATTATCATCCTGTAAAATATCCTCTTACAGATAAGGGAAGGAAAAGTAAGATAATTAACTTACTAAAAGAAAAAAAAATTTGAATTTGGGATGTTGGGCAGTACTTGATTTAAGTCTAGGCAGCTTGATACATTATAACAATCACAAGAATAGAAGATTTCAAAAGGCAGCACTGGATGACAAAACAAAATATTACAATGAAATGTGTAAGGAGTTGGAGTCAGAAAATCAAAAGGGCTGAACTCGCTCAGCATTTCTTAAGCTCAAGGAACTGAAGAACAAATTCAAACCTCGAGTTGCTATAATCAAGGATGCTTTTGGCAGAATGTTAAATGATCCAGGAAGTATTAAAAGAAGATGGAAGGAGTATACTGAGTCACTGTATAGAAAGGAATTGGCAGATACAGAGGAATTTCATGAAACAACATATGAGCAAGAGCCTATGGTGATGAAAGAAGAAGTTCAGGCTGCTTTGAAGGAAATGGCAAAAAAATAAGGCTCCAGGAATAGATGGTATACCAACTGACATATTTCAGTTAACAGATGCTGCCCTGGACGTGCTCACCAAGTTGTGCCAAGAAATCTGGAGAACGACCACTTGGCCAACTGACTGGAAGAGATCTATATTTGTTCCTATCCTAAAGAAAGGTGACCCAACAGAATGTGGAAACAACAGAACAATCTCACTGATTTCACATGCAAGCAAGATTTTACTGAAGATTATCCAAAAACGACTGGAACAGCACATCAGCAGAGAACTACCAGAAGTCCAGGCTGAGTTTAGAAGGGGTCGTGGTACTAGAGATATTGTTGCTGATGTTAGATGGATCTTGGCTGAAAGCAGGTTATACCAGAGGAATGTCTATCTGTGTTTCATTGACTATGCAAAGGCATTTGACTGTGTAGATCATAACAAACTATGGCTGACTCTGAGAAGAATGGGAAGAATGCGAAACTTATACTTGGACCAGGAGGCACTTGTCAGAACAGAGCAAGGAAACACTGCATGGTTCAAAATTGGGAAGGGCGTACGCCAGGGATGCATCCTATCTCCATACCTTTTCAACCTATATGCAGAACAGATTATCCGGGAGGCTGGGCTCTATGAGGAGAAATGTGGAGTCAAGATTGGTGGTTGATTTATCAACAACCTGCGTTATGCGGATGACACAACCCTGCTTGCTGAAACTGAGGAGGACCTGAAGCGCCTGCTGCAGAGTGTGAAGGACTGCAGCCTACAATATGGATTGAGGCTCAATGTCAAGAAGACCAAGATTCTCACCACTGGACCAATTGGCAGCATCAGGATGGATGGTGAAGAGGTTGAGATTGTACACAGCTTTAGTTTGCTTGCCTCCATAGTCAACAGTCTTGGCACCAGCAGCCAGGAAATGAAAAGGCGCATTGCCATGGGAAAGTCTGCTGTTAGGGACCTCTCCAAAGTACTGAAGAGCAGTGGTGTCTCTCTGGAGACTAAGGTGCGTCTGATACAGACTTTGGTCTTCGCAATCACTTGTTATGCATCAGAGAGTTGGACAATAACTAAGGAGGATAGTAGGGGGATGATGCCTTTGAGCTGTGGTGCTGGAGAAGAGTACTGAGAGTACCATGGACTGCTAGGAAAACAAACAGATTTGTCCTGGAAAGGGTTAAACCGGGTGGCTCCTTGGAGGCAAGGATTCTGAGGCTCCATCTAACATACTTTGGACATGTTGTGAGGAGAGACCGGTCCTTAGAGAGGGACATCATGCTTGGGAGGGTGGAGGGACAGCACAGGAGAGGAAGGCCCTCTATGAGGTGGATTGATTTAGTGACTGGGATAATTGGGATGGGAGTGTCAGAGACGGTGCGATTGGCACAGGACAGAGCGGAGTTTAGGGCTGTTGTACATAGGGTCGCTATGAGTCGTAGGCGACTCGACGGCACATAACAACAGCAACAACATGTGGTGTCAGCTTATTACTGACTTTCCAGTGGTTTTTCAGAGGAAGTAAATTCCATAGGAGTAGATTGCCCATCTTTTGCCTTTGGAGCAGCTGGTGGACTCAAACAAAACACTTTTGGGTTGATAGTGCAACTCCTTAGTTTCTCTGCTGCTTAAATTTTTTACTTTAGGTGAACTGCTTAACATTTTAGAACCTTGGGGTTTTATTGTCAGTATAAGGAAAATATTTTAATAATTCACCTCAACACTCTATCATTGCATTGGTTTCAATTTATAGCAGCCCTTCATCAGATTTGCAAGGTTGTAAATTTCATTTGGAGGAGATTGCCCATCTATCTCCCATGGAGCCCCTGGTGGATTAAAATCCTCAGAGATGCTCTGCTTTTGGATTAGCAGTGAACCTGGCTATACGTAAAGTGCCTTGCTGTCTGCATGCTAAATTGAGGGTTTAGTTTCTTTGTGGTTTTTAACCTAGTTTTCACCTCCTTTGTTTCTTACTCCAGGTTTTCCCTCCTTCTGACTACTTTTCTAGAACTTTTTGTTTTATATATATTTCTCTTTTATAGACTTGTGTTTTCGCATCATCCTCTTCTGCCTGTAACTCTTATCACCTCCTATTCTTAGTGCTCAATCCTTGACTCTGGTTTTCTGGCTGTTTCAATCCTCACTCTACTGGGAGCCTAATTTATTGTCATAAACAATTTTAACGTTAATTCTTTTGTGAATGAAATCTAATCTTCACAACCCAAGTGGTACAATCTAATTTTCTTTCCTTGTAAATAAATGAATCTCTTATTTTCTACAAATTTCATTATTATTATGTTTACTTTTAAAAACCAAGCTTTAGGGTTGTTTTGGTTTTTTAATAGTAAAGTATATATAATAAAGCATTGCTATTTCAACTGTATATATAGTTTCACTCACACTTGTGCATTGTCGTCAAATCAGAACCAACTCATAATTGACCCTCCAGTGAATTTTCAGAAGCTTTACTTTGCACAGGAAGAAATTGACCATCTTTTTTCTGTAGAGCAACTAGTGAATTCAAACCATTTGCCTTTAGGTTGACAGTGCATTGCCTCTGAGTTGACTTTTTAGTTTCTTTTGGGTTTTTGGGTGTTTTTTTTTTTTTTTTTAAGATTCAGGCCTGATTAAGGCCATGATCTTTTCAATTACTTTTTAAAAAATTTTTATTAAATTTTATTAATTTTAATGAACATTTACAAAGATTTTTGGATTCCCTTCATTCATTGTTGAACTATTTTCTCTACCCCTCTCCAGTTTGTTTCTTTTTTCCCCCCATTGAAAGTGTGTTTTAATTGTCCCATTGCTACAGTGCTTGTCAAAGCCAGTTCTGATTAATCTCCTTTGTCAGTGTGTCCTTTGCCATTCCCTATCACTCCTACCTGAGGGAGACTTCACCCTGATTCATAAGGAAAAGGGGATGGCGTATTCTCTTAGCTACTTCCTGCTGAAAAGGGACGCTGTGGGTTTCAGGGTGAAGATCTTCTCTCACTACTCTAATGGGCCCCTTTGACAATAAGAAACACGTAGACTATTGTGGAGACTGATTTTGGAATTTAGGTGCACTGTTATCAATTGTGCTTAGCCATACATTTCATATCCTTGAAGGTGTATCATCTTTTTAGTTTTTCTTGAGGTAAACATTGATGTCTGTCTTCAGATTTATAAAGTTTTCTGCCATTTTTTCATATTTTGTTTCTTTCCCTCTCTTCTGGAATTTTCAAGATACATACAATTGGTTGGTTCGTGGTGGTCATTGCCGTCAGGTCTATTCCAACTTATAGTAATTCTGCATGTGGTTTTGTACACTTCCATTTGGCATTGCTTAGCTTTCTTGAGCTTTTCCCCCATGCTCTTCAAATGTATTAATTGCAGTTACTGTATCCTAATTTACTGAGTCTTTCTTACCAGCTCAACTCTGCTATTTGATTCCTCCAGAGAATTTTTTTCTTCCATTTTTTATCTTATAATTTTTCTCCTTTTGTTTTTATTCTGTCCATATCTATTAAAGACAGAGACATTACAGATTATAGTTTATATAATGTTTCCTGAGTACTGACAGTTTGCTAGGCATTTTATCAATATAGCAATTGTGTGCATGAAAAAGGCTGGTTGTTATGTGCCATTGAGTCGGAACCAACTCACAGCTGATCCGTCAGCATGTTTTCAGAGGTTGTTAGTCTCATGGGAGGAAATTCCCATATATCTCCCATGGAGTAGCTGGTGGGTTAGAACAGCCTGTCTTTAGGAACTCTTCCCCACTAGGCCACCAGAATTGTTCTTAGTGTCGTTCATTCGATTATGACTCATAGCAAACCTATGAACAGTGCATCTAAACCCTAATCTGTGCCATCCTTATCATCTTTGATGTACCTGAGCCCTTTGCTGCGGACACTGTGTCAGTCCATCTCCTTGAGGGTTTTCCTCTTTTTTACTGACTCTCTACTTTTCTGAGCATGAAATATTTTTCCAAGAACTGGCCCCACCTAATAACATACCCATAATGTACCATCTAAGGACCAAACTATTTGTTGAATTTCTTCCAAGACTGTTTGTTCTTTTGGCAATCCATGGGATATTCATTTCTCTTCTCCAGTACCACAACTCAAAGGCATCAAATTTCTCTTCTGTCATCCTTACTCATTGTCCAACTTTTAGATGCATAATGACCAGAATTGTTATTGTTAGGTGCTGTTCAGTCAACTACTGATAGCAATCCTGTATACAATAGATCTGAACCCTGTTGTATCTTATACTCACAATCTCTGACACACTAGAGCACATTGCTGTAGTCACTATGTCAATCCATCTAGTTGAGAGTCTTCCTCTATTTCACTGTCCCTCCACTTTTCCAAGCATGATTTCCCTCCCCAAGGAATAGCCTCTTCTAACAACATGCCCAAAGTATGTGAGATGAAGTTTTATTGTCTTTGTCTTCAAAGAGCACTTTGGCTACACTTTCCCCGAGATATATCTGTTATTAATTAATTCCATTTTTATGGACTGGAAATACTCTGTAGGGAGAGATGAAAGAAAATTCTCAGAATACTGCTATTGCTAATATCAAACCACATAATTCAAAAGACAGATTAAAAACGGGGGGGGGGCGGAAATGCTCATGATTGCAAAATCAGTAAGTAATGGAGCCAGAAGCTGAACTTGTGGTGAGCACTATCCTGCCTTCTTAGACATCATGGTTATTGGATCTAAGTTGAATGCTAAGGAATTTCTTGGTACCAGCAGTCAGGAGATCAGAAGATGTATTGTACTGGGAAGGTGTATAGTCGAGGACCTCTCCAGATTATTGAGGAGCAGTGATGTCAGTTTGAGGACTAAGGTGCACCTGATTCAGGCCATGGTCTTTTCAGTCACTTACCACGCATCTGAGAGCTGGACAATGAGTAAGGATAAAAGGGGCAAATAAACGGATGCCGTGGAACTGTCGCATTGGAGAAAAGTGCTAAATATCCCATGGACTGCCAAAAGAACAAACAGCTATGTCTTGGAGAAATTGCAACCAGAGTGCTCCTTGTAGGCAAAGATGATAAAACTTCATCTCACATACTTTGAATACATTCAACCAGGTAGACTGACACAGTGAGTGCAGTAATGGTCTTGAGCATGTCAAAGATTGTGAGGCCGGCACAGGTGAGGACAAATTTCAACAACAAGGAATTTCTTGGGGGTAGAAAAACCATGTATATCAATTTACATCACTCCTCTCTTTCTATACTTGTTTAAGAATAGTTCCCAAACTTCTTGCCTGTTCTATCAGATTTCATTTGAAATAGAATCTAATGCCTAGATAACATTGAAGTCTGGATTCTATTAATGTTTTCCTACTTTAGTCAATAAACTTAGATATAAAGGAGAGGCAGAAAGCATCTTTTTGTGAAAGAATAGAGAAATGTTAAATCTTTCCGATTTTACTTTTTTTATTTCAGAGTGAGATAATTCGAGATAATACTGGAATTTTGGAATGTGTCAAAGAAGGAATTGGAAGAGTGATTGGTATGGGAGTGCCGCATAGCAAACGACTACTTCCGCTTCTTTCCTTGGTCTTTCCTACGGTGCTGCATGGAGTGCTTCATTACATCATCAGCTCAATCATTCAAAAGTTGGTCCTACTAATTCTAAAGAGAAAGACTTATAATGGCCACCTAGATGAGAGCACTAGCCCTGTGCAAAGTATGTTGGATGCTTATTTTCCAGAACTTATAGCTAACTTTGCTGCCAGTCTTTGCTCCGATGTTATACTCTACCCATTGGAAACTGTTTTGCACCGCCTTCATATTCAAGGAACACGCACTATAATTGACAATACAGACCTTGGCTATGAAGTGCTTCCAATTAATACACAATATGAGGGGATGAAAGACTGTATCAATACTATAAAGCAGGAGGAAGGAGTACTGGGTTTTTATAAAGGATTTGGTGCTGTTATTATACAGTATACACTGCATGCAGCTGTTTTACAGATTACCAAAATTATTTACTCTACACTTCTTCAAAATAGCATTTGAGATTTGGCCTTTATCATTGATTAGTCAACAAGACATACTGTGGATACTTCACTAGAAAATTATGGAAGTGAAATACTGGGGGAAATGGATTGTAAAGTGAAACTATAGTAAAAGACCATGCTGATTATATGAAAACACTTTTCTTTGAAAACAGTGGAAGTAACACTTATAAAAATTAAATTCCATTTAGCAAAATAGCAGCACTCAAACTGAACTGAAAATAGAGGTCCTTTGGCAGATGCAAAAGTTGTCATAAAATGTAAAACAAAATTTCATAAATCTGAATCTGACCTGTTATGTATTTGTTATATGCTTATTTCTATTTTAGATTGATTTGTTTTGTCATGCTCAATATCAGTATCAAAAGGCCATAGTTTAACTTTTGCCATCAGAGAAAAAGGCCAGATTAGATTTGATAGTCTGTAAGGAAGAATTTAAAAGTTTTAAATTGCATTGCCCCTACGTAACTCTTTTTAATGTTATAAATGTATTTCTAGAAAGCCACCTACATACACACAGAACTTGATATTCCTTTCATTGCTACAGATCAGCTTAAATATATAAAATGAAGTCATTTGCTTTCTGCTTGAATATCACCAGAAGTACATTAAAAACCAAGATATCAGAAGATTTAGTTTGAACAAATCATATATCCAAGCCCAGTATTTCAGTGCCAAAAATTTACAATTTATCAGACATTTTAAAGTTTTGTTAAGTAGATATGTGATCCATCAAGCTGTTTCTAGAGCTACTCTTAAGAGAGTTAGGATATAAAATAATCATGAACATCTGTTACCATTTCCATATTTTCAAAGTGTATATTGCAAGGAACCACACATGCCTTTTCATCTTTTAATGAGTGTCCTGGAAGAGACAAAATAAGAATTTACCTGGAATTTTGTGCCTGCTGCCTTCTGTGTAGTTATCAGTAAATAGCTGTAATTCTCTTTCCATTTTTGCTTATAGTATGACAGAGTTTAAACATAGCTTTGTGTGTACATGTATGTACATGCACACACATGTGTAAAGGGAAAAATAAGTTTAATAGTGCTATCTATTTTTTTTTTTTTCATTTCAATGAACATCTACAGAGATTGTGGATTTCCGTTCTTTCATTGTTGCTCTTTTCTCCCCACCCACCCCACCCCCACCCCAGTTCGCTCTTCTTCCTGAAAAGCAAAAGAAAAATTCCTTCACTGGTATACAATCCCCTTGCATCCCCCCACCCCCACCCTGAGAGTGCTACCTTTTACTGAAAATTGGATGACTACTGAAGAAAAAATAAAAGCCTTAAAAGGGAGCTTGGTCCCTTGTTTTTTGTGGATTCCGTGCAGAGGATAAAAGTATATTTCAGAAAATAATAGGAAAAACAAAAGTTAGTTGATTTTATTAATTAATTTGGTTAATTGGACTGTTCTTTGTATAGAAAAATGAAGTACAATTGACTGAGCTATCATTAAACATTTTAAAGTTTTGTTTCTTCATGTGGATGATTGCAGTTTTATTGTGAACTATTTAATACACTAAAATACAAGGACTTTTCATTGAAGTTGTTAAAAATACAAAGTGAATATCTTTTACTTTGCTAAATGTCAAATAAATGACATCTTTCTGTAGTCAGAACTATGGGAACTAAAAATTGATATCCAAAAAGTGAAGAAATCTATGTAGTAGTGATTCTATCCAAAGCCTTGTAAATGTGCTGAGGTATTTGTTCTCTAAAGCAAATTTAAATACGACTTATCCTGTGAATTTTGGAGTTAGTCTTTCTATGGCATTTATACTATTGTCATTGCTTTTGAACCACTGAATAATTTTTTATATTTTTAGTATGCCCAGCTTCCTAGAAAACCCGTAGTGTTTCTTTTTTCAGATTGTTTTGTTTTGTTTTGTTTTTTATTGGTTTAGTTTGCAATATTCAAAGAAAGGGTATTCAGACAAGGGTAATTTTAGAAAACTTTTGTCTTTTTTTTTTTAAAGAACAGAACGTGAGTGGAATCCAGTATTTGCTAATGGAAATCTGATACTCGTATCTTGTTAACAATTGAATAGTTGAAGCTCTTTTTTGGAAGTTAGAATGAAAGTATAGAATTTTTTTATTGTGAAATTACCACAAATCTGATAGGTTGAGCCAAGTAAATAAAAGTTTAATTAAGTTGTCCTTATTTGTGTTATTGGAGAAAAAGAATGACAAGTAGACATTAAAATAAATAAGTATGTAAAATACTCTCTTTTCAACTGCCATTGCAAATTAGTTGAAATAAAGGTAGCTTTCAAATTCAAGTACTTAAATGTTGGCAAAATATATTTAGCTGAATATTCAAAAGAATAAGTGAAAATAATAATCAGAGATACTCCCCTTTTTAAAAATGGCATTTGTTTAATATATGGGTACAAATACTAAATATCAATGCTTAAATTTCATAAAATGAAAATTTAGAAGAATGTTTTTCAATTCACCAGTAGTATTATTAATATTAATTACAAATCATTGTTCTGTTGGCCCGATTTGTTCTTTTTTTGGCCGTGGAGTTTACATGATATGCTTGCCCTACATTATAGCGTTTAAATGAAATTAAATAGTCTGAAAAACATTTAATTGAAAGTTGTAAATATTACAGTGAATTAGTTTATGAATGGATTTATAAATCAGTCAGACTTTTTCCTTTGAGATAACCTCAACTATATTTTATGTGCCTTTGAAAAGTATCCCTATCTTAAGAAAAGTATTCCAAACTTAAGAGATGGTAAGTGTGAAATAGGTAAAACAAAGTAATTTAAAAATGACTGTGGGCTGAAGGAGAGCAAAACTGGAGAGGGCTTGCTCACACTTGCAGAAGTGCCTGATTACTTAACTGTCTGTAGCACGAGGTTGGTTATAACTGCAAAGATAATTCACTGTGGGACACAAATGTCTCGGTGTTCCTACCCATCTATTCATGCATTTGCTCAGAAAACAAATACTTCACTGATAATATGTTTTAATGGCAGAGATTGTGCAATTACATTGTGATGCATTATGTAACTCAATTTCTTTTCTTTGAATTTTGGAACAAGAAGAAGATAGCTAAGTTAAAATTCTTTCTAGGAATTCCATAAGCAGGTCTCCTTGGTGACAGTTGACATTGCTCTAGAAATTGAGTGATGGTGCTTTGGCCATTTTACCTTCCATTTCTTTTTCATAAGGTTGTACATAATCTTTCTCTTGCGTACTCTTCTTGCTCTTGCTGTATCTCTCTCTGTAATATAAACAGAATGTGTAATATCTTGCTTTTAAGTCATTTAGTATCATTAATGTGATACCAAGTTGTATAACAGAATAACAAAAAATTGTGCTTTGACAATAAGTACCTCAGCAAGAAGAGGTATGCAGTCTGATTTTTGTGGTTTGTTTTTGTTTTAGTTTTTGTCTCCCTGGTATTTTAAATGTTTTAAGAAAGTTGTATAATATTGAAACTTCAATAAAAATGTTAAAATAGCTCATGTTAAAAGATGTGGTATATTTTTATAGATAAAATGGAAGATCAAGAAAAATTAGTAAGATAGGATGAAACCTTTTTGCTAACTTAAAAAAAATTGTTTCCAGAGTTATAGGAGTGATTTTGAATTCACCAGTTGCTCCTTAGGAGAAGGATGTTCCTTCTTGTGTGCAGTTCACTGCCTCTGAAAACCTACTGGAGGCAGCTAGAAGTCAATTCCAACTTGATGGCATGCAGCAACCACAGGATTTAACTATAATGTGTTTCTCAAAAATTTACTGTATTTACTAAAAGTTTTGCACTCATTGTACTTCATGCAAGTTTTATATATTTGTATATTTGATCCTTATAACGACATTATGACATTTTCTATACTGTTTGAGGAACTTGTTGTTGATTATTGTTGATTATTGTTAGGTATTCTCAAGTCCAGTATGACTCAGTGCCCCTGTGAACAACAGATTTGAACCCTGTTCTGTCCTGTGTCATTCGTAGTCTCTGACATAACGTGAACCCATTGCTGCAGTCACTGCCTCAATCCATTTGGTTGAAATTCTTTCTCTCTTTCACCTTTCTAAGCACAATGTCGCCTTCCAAGGAATAACCTCTCCTGGCAGCATGTTCAAAGTAAGTGAGACAAAGTTTTAAAACCTTTGTCTCCGAGGAGCACTCTGCTTCTACACCTTCATTAAGACATCACTGTTCTTTTGGCAGTCCACAGTGGTTTAGTACTCTTCTCCAGCACCACTAGATAGAGAAAAGCTGTGACTTGATTAAGGTTAAACAACTAATTAAACACAGAACTAGCAGTTGAGCCTTGGTTTTGTTCAATAGTTCACTGGCCCATTATAATGACTATAATGAGGCCCCAAAAATTCAAGAATACATGCCTAATAACGCTTTATAAACGAAGTAGCTAGCATTGAGTACTTAGTGCGGTACATGAATGATTAAATGCATCATCTTATATGTTTCCTATATGATCTTATGAAGCTGTACTAATACCACATTCCTTTTGTGGTGGTGGTTAGGTGCCATCAAGTTGACCGATAATGACCCTATCTGAACACATCTAAATCCTGGCCTCTTCTGTGCCATCCTCACACTTCCTGACACACTTGAGCCAGTTGCAGCAGTCACCTATGCCAGTCCATCTAGTTGAGAGTCTCCCTCTTTCACTGGCCTTCAGCTTTTCCAAACATGAGGTACTTCTCAAATAACCTCTTCTAGCAACATTCCCAAAGAATGTGAGGCAAAGCTTTATCTTCTTTGCTTCCAAGGACTCTTACTGCACTTTCTCCAAGATATACCTGTTTGTTGTTTTGGCAATCCATGGGATATTCAGGACTCGTTCAGTGTCATGGCTCAAATACATCAATTCTTCTATTTTTATTCAATATTCAGCTCTCAGATGCATAGCAAGTGGTTTGAAAGATCATGGCTTGAGTCAGACTTTTCCTTTTACAGATAATTAAAACAGATTAATAGCTTTGTCCGAATCTCTTGATTTATTGCTAGTGATTGTGAGAATTTATTCATGATTCTGTTTGCCATCTGAATGTCCTCCTCTGTGAAAAATCTTCCTGTGCCTTTTGCCCATGTTATAATTGGATTATCAATTTTTTTCCTTGTGGAGGCTCTATGTTGTT